CGCCTTGGGCAGTGGAACGGGACATCCCCTGCTCACCAGTCTGGCGTGCTTCTCTGGGGTCCCTTGTATACTAGCATCAGCCACCATTCACGAGCACCCACCATGTGTTAGACAGTGGGAGGTGTCTACACATGCCTTGGTTCTCATCTGCACGGTAACCATGCGAGGTGAACAGGATTTGCTCCAGCCTTGAGATGAAGAAGCCGAGGCCCAGCAGTCACAGGTTAGTGGGAGAGCTCGGAATCTGAAAACCGAACCTGGGCCCATTGGCTGCACCCCTCTGGCGGAGGGCTAGTGGAATGGGCCACTTATTATGAATGGCTATCCCTCCTCCTTCACAATTGGCTGGGCTGCATCCAAGGGAGAATTTTGGTGGATCAGAAGAGTAAATGCATTTGCACGACTGTTTTGGAGATCTGCACTCTAAAGACACTGTGACAGTGACGAAGGGTTACTGGCACTTGTCTCCCCAGACTGACAGCTATCAAAATCCATTCTTGCCCTGAGCTGTTGTCCTTGAAAAATGAGCAACACACACTTACATGACTGTTCATACAGTCCAATGGACATCTTCTATTGCCTACTTTTCTCAGCTTCTCATACAAGTTATAAAAGTCTGAAGGCCCTCCATTACGCTAGGCAGGTACTGTGGCAAAACATCCTTCTTCCTCTTTCCTCCACGTAGTGTGAGGGGTCTGGAGACAAAATGGTCCTGTTTGGGCGGATGACTTAACAATGTCAGGGGCTGCTGGTGCCAGTTACTGAGGGATGGACAGGTCCTCAGACAGGAAAAGGAGACTTGAAGGATGGGATCATGGCTAGTAGCAGGAATGCCATTTCCTCTGGGCACCTTCTCCTGCGTAGGGAGAGGAGAGTGTCCTAGATGGCCGGTGCTGGGGGGCAAAAGTTGAAATAGTCCCTACTCTAGGAGGTATGCCAGGGGTTGGTTGACCCCTGTGCATATAGCTCTCTCTCTCTCTTTTAAAAATACCTGATATATTTTGGTGAAAATATTTCCATGCCTTTTTCTGCCATTAGCTTGAGGGCTCCAGGGTAGGATCATTGCTACTCACAGAACATAAGCCAGAACAGAGCATGGGATTAGCATTTAGGAAATATTGAGATGAGGACTCTAAGGAAGTCATATTCTGTAAGTTGCTCTATGTGGCTGTCTTACTCATTGAGTTTATTTCTTCGCTAAATATCCCTGAGCTTCTAGTCAAGTCACATTTAAATGTTGTATCGAGTCTCAGATGTCCTGGAGAATTAAGTAAGGAAATTAAGGTATCTATGCCAAACTGTAAAGGGGGAAACAATATCCCCCCCCATCGATTTCCCTCCCCTTCTCCCAGGATAACAGAAATGATGATTAAGAGTCCCGACGGGAAGGTGAATTTCAGGGAGAACAGCTGGGGTGTTAACGACTGTCTCTTGGATATTCTCCATTTCTAGTCTTGGAAAATCTAACTTTCATTTGATTAAGGAAAGTAGCAGGTTTCTCATCGGCACTATGCCTATATTTTATGCCTATAAAAATCAGGCAACAGCCTGCACTTTTAGGGAGCATGCAACACAATAATCTGTTCTGAACTGGAGCTGACATCTGAAGCTTCTCATGGCCCTACCTGCCTGACAGTAGTGAAAACTACAAAAACCTAGAACCGAAAACATCCTGGCCTTTGTTAGGAGCACCTTCTATATTTTGCATTTTTCTAATAATAGCTACCTAAAGATACTCTGCTAGTTACATCATCATGCTGTCACTAATCCTCACAACTCTGCAAGGTAAAATATTACACTAAACCTATCTTTACAGACGAGGCAACAAACGCAAAAATTTTGTAATTCTCCCAAGCAGGAGGCCCCAAAGGTCATAAGCTTGTAAGGGCCTAAGCTGGCAACAGAACCCCTTGTTATTGCCACTTATGTCAGATGGCTTCTGATATGACTGATATCCACTGTTTTCTCTAAGCTAATTTTCAGACTTCTTGGTCTGCGGAATTATTTTTTTTAAAGGATCAGTGATTACTTGCAGGTTCTTTTTTCTTTTTTTAATTGACTCCCATGTATGTCAATCAAAACAGTTTGTGCATGCAATTACAGTTTTCAGAATGGGTGCTTGGAATGGAGCAATATGAAAAGAAATGGAAAAAAAAAATCAAACCTTGGCAACTGGTTTAGTAAGAATTATACTTCTAAGCTTGCAATCCATGAGGAATTTGCAGAATTTCCTCTTCCCGAACTGAATTTCTTCTTTCCTTCATTTCCCAGGTCAGCTTAAATCCTGGCTCTTGCTTGAGGCCTCCCCTCAAATGAAAAGCTCCTTTTTCACACTATGATAATATGTATAGAGCGTCCCAGTCAGATTGCTCCCTTGATCACTTAATCAGAGTCTGCCTTACCATTTTACTGAAATGTGTCCTGAGCTTTTGGTTTTCACTACTTTCAGTGTCAAGGGCACAAGGGCTAAAGGTTACTCTTCTTTTTATCCCTTTTGTAGCAAGATGGTGCTGTGCACATAGAAGTTGCTCAGTAATACTTGATCCATGTATAAGTAGGTGAAAAATAAGTGAATTTGGAAAAATTCAGGGAGTAAGTAGATTAGGATGGTATAGTAACAAACATTATAAAAAGTACTTTAAAGTTTATAAAATGCTTCTCAAGCAACCTCATTTGTACCTCAGAATAACCCAGACGAAACTGGCTTGGAGAGGTTAAGACACTTACTCTTGAAACCCAGATCCTCTTCCTCCAAAACTTGTTTTATTTCCATTATAGTTGACTCTTAATTATGAATATGAGATTAAATGTGGAGACAGCCCCCCCACAAAACATCCTCACCAGCAGAGGGCGCAAGAATATGTATGGGTCTTGGAGTAAGATTTGCATACCGGCCCAGCCACTATTTTTTTTTAATATAAATTTAGTTATTTATTTTTGGCTGCGTTGGGTCTTCGTTGCTGTGTGTGGGTATTCTCTAGTTGCGGCGAGGCGGGGGCTACTCTTCGTTGTGGTGCGCAGGCTTCTCACTGCGGTGGCTTCTCCTGTTGTGGAGCACCAGTTCTAAGCCTGCCGGCTCAGTAGTCGGGGCTCGCGGGTTCTAGAGCACAGGCTCAGTAGTTGTGGCGCACCGGCTTAGTTGCACCGCAGCATGTGGGATCTTCCCGGACCAGGGCTCGAACCCGTGTCCCCTGCATTGACAGGTGGCTTCTTAACCACTGCGCCACCAGGGAAGCCCCTGGCCCAGCCACTTTAAGAGCTAGTGACCTTGGGCAAATCATTTTATTTTTCTGAGCCTCATCTGTAAACTAATGATGATAATCTCCCCTCCCCCCAGCACTGCAGAGTAGTCATAAGGATTAGAAATCTTCTGTGGCTAGAACATAGTAGGTGAACTGTAAATTGTATCTCTCCTGATCCCCGTAAGAAGATCACAGGAGCGGTTTGGAGGTTAAATCGATATTAATTCTTGTTTGATGTTTTAATAAATATTTGAAATTAGTTTGCATATTTGACCCTTACAATAGCTTAAATGGGCAAAGAAATAAATATCGATGAAAAAATTTTAATACCCAACGGTGGCAAGAGTGAGGAAACCAACTGGAACAACTTTTCTGGATAGAAAGCCTTAAAAATATGGTATGTCCTTTGCCCCCAAATCCATTTAACCAAAGAAAATAATATTGGATGGTAGCAAGATTTAGCAAAACAAAGGATGTCATCATCACTCTTTATAAAAGCATAAGAGGAAACAACCTAAATGTTCAATGTAGGGCACAGGCTTAATAATTAATAATCGAACTGAATAATAATAATCTTAATAATCAAACTGAACACCATGCAGTCATTAAAATGATGCTATAGAAGAATATTCTAAAAGGAAGGATGATCGCAACACAGCAAGCAAAGATCACAAGACACAAACAGCCCCCTTTAACTTTTGTTTAAAAATATACACAGGACAGAAATCAAAATTTCCATAGGAGATGCGATTGTTAGTGAAGCTTTATATTTTTCCTACTTCTCTTTGCTTATCTTATTCTCTAAATGTTCTGCAATAAAAATGTATCACTTTTTTGATAAAAATAGTTTTTTCTTTTACATGTGCAGAGTTGGTGTGTTTTTTAAACACTGCCTGTCAGCACAACCAGACCAGTGGTCAAGTAAATTAAGTTAGTTGTAATAAAGTAACTTGGAAGTTTCAAGTTGTTAGTTGAAGAGAGTAATTAAAATCCTAATGAAATTACACAGCACTGGTCGCTTAGCTGTGCAGTAAGGCTGCTCTAAATATAGACACTGGGTTCCACTTTCTCAAAAGGCCTAAAAATGGCATAACATAAAAAATGAACAATTGTTCATGTAAAGGGCCATGTGCCATGTTTGTCCTAAACCACTGTAACCCGAACTCACCCATATCTCATCCTCCAGGCTGGCTGCATGTCTCTGGAAGGGTGTATTTGCTCTACATTACTCAATTTACTTTCTTGAACTTGAAATGGAGTGGAATTTCAATGTACAGTTACCCATTAGCTCCAAGGCTAAATTTAAACCTTTAATTAAATTAATCCCTTGATCTTAAACACATTTCTTCTCCCTCAGGAAAGTGTAGAGGGTTTCTTAGATGTCACAGAACTCAAGTCAGTGTGACAATTGTTCCTACTGCATTTGGTAAGTCACCTGAACCGCACTGGGAAATCTGCAGGCGTTTTCGGATGGCTCATGGTAACCACCCCCCACTCCAACCCCCCCAGGACAGGTATTTGTTGGGCGTGAGGTTGGGGTACAGAATTCTGCCACCCCTCGCAGATCCAGAGCTGCAGCTTGGACAGGTACTCATCTTTACATAAGACATTGCAGGTGCCAGACGGATGTTTATGAAATAAATGACAGAAAGTAGCTGTGCATTTTGTTCCCAGTTTATATGGGAGGAAAAGAGATCATAACCCACAAACATTTGCAAGGTGACAAGGGGAAAAGGTTGTGAGGCCATCTTAGCTTACCTTGTTCTTCATGGAAAACGGAGCACGTTTCTGGGTCGAAGTAAAAATTTATGTTGGCCTTTGCTAAGAAAGATGAAAAGTGACAGCACCATCAAATGGAGATGTGTCAATTAGTCTGGCCACACGTTTGATGTTCGCTCCTGGGTTCTTACGCATCCTCGGGTATGCATTTAAATCAGGGGCTGCATCCTCAGTCTGCGAATGAATGAGACACAAACTCAACGGTTAGCGACAGCTTTATGGTGGGACTGTCCACATAAGGGGTAACTATTAATAAGGATGTATTTCTCGGGGCCCAACAGCAGCGCGGGATCCAGTTAACAAGCTCACGGGCCAAATCTCCGCGTCGCTCCAATTAATTGTCCCGCAGACCCACAACTCTCCCGGGACCCACATTGGGTTCTGCTCGCGCCCCCAATTCCCAGTCCAAGCGCTACGAGGAAACGTGCTACCTCCCTCACCTGGGCGCGCGCCCTGGGAGCCACCAACTCTCCCCGCAGTCGGCTCGGACTACCTGGACTGCCCGGCCGGTCCCTCGCCCCGCCACCCGCTTGGCTTTCCCTTCCTCCTCCTCTTCCTCCTCCTCCGGCCCCCCGCCTCCGGCCGCCAGCCTCCGCGGCTGCCGCCTGCGGCTTTGTTTTCCTCCCAGGTTTCATTCCCCACACGTGATACAGTGTTTTTGCAAAGAGCGCTTCGGAGCGCGAGCGCGGGGCGCGCGCACCTATAAATACGGACACCGGGGCCCGAGAGTCGGAGACCGCGGGGCCTGAGAGGGCCCGGGACCGAACCCCCAGGCTGCTGGCGGGCGGGCAGACGGCCAGCGAGCCAGCGAGCCGCGCGCGTGGGCCGGAGCGGCGGCGCCCCCCGCCCGAGCACCGAGGGGCAAGCATGGCCCGCCCGCTGGGGGGCCGGGCCGCCGCGCACGCCGCCCGCGCCCCGCGCCCTGCCCAGCCCGGGTCACCGGCGCTCGCGCCCGCCGCTTAGCACTCGGGCGCCGCTCGCTTCTCGGGGCATCGCGGAAATATCGCCGCAGACGGACACAATGGCGGCGACTGCCGCCACCACGGCCGCCACCGCCGGCAAGGCCGTCCGCAGCAGCAGCAGCAGCGCCGGCACCGTCGCCGCAGGCACCAGAAGATTGCAGCAGCCGCCACAGCAGCAGCCTCAGCCCGCGGCCGCCGCGCCGGCCCAGCCGCCGCCGCCGCAGCCGCCGCTGCCGCTGCCGCCGCCCGAGCCCCCCAGGAAGACGCGCATGGACCCGCGGCGCCGCCAGGCTGCCCTCTCCTTCCTCACCAACATCTCGCTGGACGGACGGCCGCCGCTGCAGGACGAGGAGTGGGCCGGCGGCGAGGAGAGCGGCGCGGCCAAGCCGGGCGCAGGCAGCGCCTGCGGCGCGAGGACGCGGCTCAGCCTGCTCGCCGCCGCCGAGCGGGGCGGTTGCGGCGCGCTCGCCGCGGCGGGCACGGCGGCGGCGTTGGCAGCTGGATCGGGCCCCTGCCATCCGCCGCCCTCGCCGCTGCCGTCCCTCGTTCCCGGCGGCCACGCGACCGTGCTCGGCCCTGGGGCGGCCCGAGGGTTCGCGAGCCCCCTGGGCGCGGGCCGGGCATCGGGGGAGCAATTGCAGCCGCCCCGGCCCGCGCCTCTCGCCGCCTGCGTTCAGCCGCAGCTGCCCGACGGGCCCGGGGGCGCCGGGCAGGAGGAGTTGGAGGAAGACGATGCCTTTACCAGCGTGCACGTGCCGGCGGCCGCCTTCTTGGGCTCCGGGACCCCCGGGAGTGGGAGCGGTAGTCGTGGCCGCCTCAACTCTTTCACTCAGGGAATCCTGCCGATCGCCTTCTCCAGGCAGACCTCGCAGAACTACTGTTCCCTGGAGCAGCCGGGCCAGGGGGTCAGCACCAGCGCCTTCGAGCAGCTGCAGAGGTCCCGGTGAGTATCCAGGACGCCACGCGCGCCTTACCTCGCGTCCCTCCCGGCCCGCTCTCTGCTGCGGGACTCGGTCGCTCCCAATTCCCGCGCCCTGCCGGATCTCTGGGCTTCTGGCGCGAATTCCAAACCACGAGGGCACGCGGAAGAGAGAAAGTCTCTAGGGAGCGTGTGTGTGTTCACACGTGTGTGCACGAGCCCGGCACTCACAGAGCAGAAGCACCATGCTCATGCAGTGGGTCCCGAGTTAGGGCTTGCGGGAGCCCACTAAAAAGCGGCACCAAAACCTCCCACTGCAAGGAGGAGATCACGAGCTTCCAGAAACCCGGTCCGGACCCGGAGAAGCACTCTCCTTGCGCCAGGCAAGACTAGGCGGGGCGCAGAGTTGAGCCGTGGGTCCGGCCGGCGGCTAAGCGGCGCGTGTGAGCCGAACTTGTCGCAGACACGCCGTGAATCCCTCCTGAGAAGTTCTGCCTGCGCTCAAAGTATTCCAGTGTCCCAGGAGAACCTGGCGTTTTCCTTTTGCTTTTCTAAGAAAAGGGAAGTCCTTATGTTCCCTTGAACCAGGCCTTGGTGGTGGGGGACAGGGAGAAAATAGGGCTTGAGGATCCTTTTTTCCATTCCAAGGTGAATTTGCTGAAATTAGTGGAAAGGTGGTTGTGTTCGCTTGCTTAAGTCATCTGCGGGTATCAAGCATCTTAGCAAAACCGTGAAATGTTGGACACTTGCTTATTCAGGAAATGGCTAGAGCTTGTCACTTATGTTCCAGGGACAGTCGGGGAGCTAGGTCTGCATCAGGCAGTGGGACTGGAGGTTGGGAGAGAACAGGAGTGGGGAGCCCCAAGGAAGTGCAGACCTGTTCCCTGGGAGGCTTGTTACTTAGGAAGGCCTCTTAGGCTCCCTATGGCTCAGTTATTTTAACTTCCTGGGGCTTCAGTTTCCCCTTCTGGAATGGGACCTTGCCAACATGTTGCAGGCCTCAAGGTGAGAAGGGGGAACCTTTCCTGTTACAGCCTCTCTCCTGTAATGCTCATCTGAACACTTAGGCTTTTTCTGGCCTAAGTAAGAAGGTGGCCTGTTGGAAAACTTAACTTCCTCCCGCAGTGGACAGACGGGAGAGAACAAGGCAGGCTCCTGCAGAATTTTGTTCTGAGTCTGTTTCTTCCCAAGTGGTGAAATCATGACCCTGCTTGGTATGTAGCATCCTAGCTGAGTGCACATGGGCTGCGGGCAGGGGTGTGGAGCGGTCGAATAGCTTTGTGACTGCATGGATGATTAGTGACGCTGGGCACAGGTGACAGCCTGGGCCTGGCATTTCTTGTCAGAGCATGCCTCTCCCCGTTATTGGGCCAGTGCACAGGAGGGGAGGGGAATCCCTTCCATTCTGGGTGAGTGGTTCGAACTCAGCAGTTTCTGGGCAGCTTGACATCACGCACTGGCTCTTAATGACTCTATAGTTTGAGCGTGAGCCCAGCTTGTCCAGCGGGTCAGGACAGGAGTTGTAATAAACATACATGTTATTCTAAGCCAGTGTGCAAGATTGCCCTGTGTCTCGTAGTAGACAGATGTGTTCCCATGCTCAAAACATCTAGAAACCAAATAACTTCACACTTTGTCTCCAAGAATCTCATTTCAGAGGACACGGAGGATCTTGTGTGTTGACATTTCTGATCCAAAAAAACAGCCAGATTTAATCTCTGAACCTATAAATATGAACCCCTTGGGTGTTTTATTGATTCCCCCCCACAACACACACATTAAGATGATCAGTCAGTATAAGATGCTTCCTTAACCTGACAGCCACATTCATCTTACTACTTCGGAATTATCCATATCCAGCAACTTGACGGGCGTTTAAAAAATTACATCTGTCAACAGAAATCGTGTCAAATTTAATGTGCAGAGAGGAAGTAAATGGGTAAAACAGAGATTTAAGAAAGGCCACGAAGAGCTAGCATGGCCACTACTCATGGAGTGGCCAGGAGCTTGGAATCTCCTAGGATACTTTGTTTCCTACACTGACTTGCTTGCAAGAATTTTGTCAGAAGTGTGCTTTTGTGATCACTAGAGAGTACTTTCACCTGCCTAGATGAATTGTGATGTGGAGTACAGACTCATTTGAATAAGGCCCAGGCCAACTTAAAGAATGTCATTTGTTTTCCTGGTATGCCTCCCTTTAAGAAGTTCTCCTAGCCTGGGTGGTTCCATATACTACTTCACAGATGTTCTCCTGGGGTGTTGTTTTTAAATCATATTATGCTTTCTTTGGATTTGTTGCTTGCAATTTAAAGAATTCCAAACAACCTTCCTGCTCAAAAGTGAGTTCTTGGACCTTCAGAGCTCTTACAATTGCAAACCCTCAGGCCCTACTCTGGACTACTTGAGCGCAAATTTGCATTTTAACAAGATCCCCAGATGATTCATATACAAGTGAAAGTTTGGAAAGCACTGCCATAGTTAATTGAAATCTGCCTTTTTTTTTTTTTCATGGATTTGGGATTTCATATATCCGGTTTGGTATGGGTATATAAAAATCAGAGTCTCCTGATCTGAAATCTTGAAACCCTTTCTTTTTTGCTACTTCCATCTGGACGCTTGTGAAACTAATCACAGTTATTACTTGTACTTCCAAATCTTGAAATATGACAGGAAAATTTCTGTGCCCAGACCTTGGCACAGATGTGTCCATGGATTGATGACTCCATCTCTGTGCTTTCGGCTGGATATTTGACATTTATCCCAGTGAATCCTCACAGCCACCCTATGTGTAGATTCTTTCTCAGACCCAGTGTTGGCCAGGACCTTTGAGATCCAAGCCTGGTGTCTTTCCTCCGCCACTGCACGGCATCACTGTGCCTTGCATGCAGTAGGCCCCAGGAGAATTTTGGAGCTGTTGGCTGTAAATGTTTGTCCGGGATAGAGCAGGCCAGTCGTGCTGGTATGATTCTGTACTCCCTTTCCTAGTCCTCACGTTTAGCCTTACTACTTAACCAGTCTCCACTGAAGTGTATAGCGAACTTAGTACCACGGGCCTCGTGCATGGGGCTCCAGGCCTGCCTGGAGTTTGTGCTGGGGTTTGCTCTATGGCTAGGTGTCAGAGCTGGGAAACCAAAAGGATGCCTTCTAGCTTGGCATTCTGCTGTGTTCCCTGCCACAGGAAGGTGTTAATAGGTGAAGGGGAGTGTAAATTTCTACGGTGTGTTTTAAGGCTTTCTTTCACTTTAAAAATTTCGCCTCAGGTAGCAGCTGGCAGCGGGTTACCCCACGTCGTAGAGCTCCTGAATTGCAGAATGGAGCCCCGGTGAACCGACGTGCGCCATCGGCCCTGACGAGAGGGGCACACGGGGACCAGGGTATTAATTTAAAACGTGAGGGTTTTGCTTCTTAGAACGCCCGTGTGAGCGTGTGCCTTGCGGAGACTCGGGTCTTCAGTGGAAAGAGAGCGTGGGGTGCAGAAGAGTCCCAAGCCTGGGCTTCGAATCGTGGTGCACAGCCTTGGGCAGTAAGTCAGCCCTTCCGGAGAGCCCCCGCCTGTGTTCCAGACCCTTTCAAGTGCAGACTGAGCTTACATTTATTATCAGGGTTGGGCGGGTGGGCGGGGGGTGACTGTGCGGGTGCTAAGTGCTGTATGTATTATGTATGTAAATGAGTTTAGAGTCACCTGGGGATCTTGAGAAAAGGCAGATTCTGATCCTGCAGGCCTGGGGGTCCCAAGTCTGCATAGTTAACTAGCTTCCTGGGAGGCAAATGGGCCGCACCTTGAAAAAGACTTTACTGGTATTATGATTGTTCCTACTCTAAGGACCAGGAAACCAGGGCTCAGAGAGATTAAGTAACCTGCTCGAGGTCACTTACCCCTTGGGGCAGAGCTCAGGCTCACACCTGACTGCTCTGGAGCTTCTAACCAGCCCTCCCTCTGCAGGGCCCCTCCTGGGGTGAGACCTGGACTGGTGCTGGGTCTGTGGTGTCCTCTTTACTGAAAAGAAAAACGTGAGCTCAATAGGGGATCGCCGCCAAGAGTAAGAGCGGGGGGATGGACTTCTCTCCCCACTTTGTCACCTCCCTGCTTTGTGACTTCAGGCAAGTCACCACACTGTGTTCCAGCTGGAAGCCACCTGACCCTTCTGGATTTTAGAAGTCAGGAAAGGACTTTGACCTCCTCTGCGGTAAGCCAACCCAAGTTATTGTTGAGCCATCTTTCCAGCAACATGCATTGTGGAAGCCAAAGCTGCAGTCCCGGGCCAGGCCACGCCCTGGTCAGGATGCTCACCCACAGCTCCTGCCAGGGCCTGAGGCGAGAGCCCGAGGTTCACCCGCTGCCCCCTTCCTTGCAGTCACCATGTTGTCATGTCGTGGGTGAACTCAGCAGGGGAAATGCATCGGAAGCCTGCCCGCTGCTGGCAAGTGCCCAGCGAGGGCAGTGAATTCAAGTGTGACCCTTTGCCCTCCAGGAAGGGTGAGGGAAGCCATAGCCTGGTTTTGCAGTGTGTCCCTGTAGCCGGGCTGGGGAGCTCCGCCTGCTGGACACTTTTCCCCAGGAAGGAGAGTTGTTAGGTAGGGAGAAGGCCAAGGGCAGGTGGCCTTTGAACACACTGGGAAGGAGCAGTAGGTGAGGCCGGGTGAGGTGACACGATGTCGATCAGGAATGCCCAACCGGTACCCTGCCCCCCTGGGCTCTGGACCTGCCCCTGCACTGGCTGGTAACCTCAGGCAAGTTGCTTCACCACCCCCCCACCCCAGCCTCTCCGTTTCCTTCTGGGATGAAAGCACTGGGACAGTTGAGTGCTGTGTTCTTCCAGCCTAGTGCCCTGGGTGCCCTTGCCCTTGCGCCTGGGGATAAGTGGGTAACTGAACCTCAGTGTCAGATGCAGAGGTGGAAGGAACTACGTGTATCCTGGGAGGCTCCAGCTGGCAGGACGTGCACTAATGAATGAAGGAATGGGTTTCCCCGGGTGTAAGGGAGAACTTTAAAAGACATGTTCAGCTGTGCTCCCTCTGGCTGG